TCGGTGAGTGTGATCTGAATTTCATTACGGGCCGTACGTGTTGTGCAAGTGACAAGTCTCCTTGTTTTACCGTAACCTCAGCCTTGCCAGAACAAATGTACGTGGATTACATGAAAGATTTTTCCATAACCTTAACCTTCTATATTAAAATTGGAATACTAAATTTACTACTTTACAATGATAACACGTCTGGTATTGGAACTTAGTATAATTGCTTTTTTACCTTAAAAGAGAAGAAGCTTTTTTCTTTTTTCTTTTTTTTTTTTTGGGTTAGGGAAAAAGAAAAGAATCATGTTTACACGTAATGCATGTTTTTTACACAGCGAGGGAAGTGATCTTGATTCATGTGTGCATGATCTTCCATTAGTTTATATGAAAAATATTTGATTGGTGTCCTCAATTTCAAATTTAAAACAGTTGAGGATGGGTTTATAATGGTCATCTCTTGTTACTTAAAAAATTATGTGATGTGACGAAAATATAAAAATGTATATTTAAAACGTGCTTAACTATTGATATTTGTAAAATTATGGCTTAAGAGTTGTATTTTTTTATAATTAGTTTTATAAGTATTTATTCTATTCATGTTGTGCAAATTTTTTATGATTGAAGGTTTGATAATTAAATGGAGAGAATTAGAAGAAAAGGAGTTAAATGCAAAGATCCAAGAAGATGGGGATCCAAGGATCAAACTTGGAAGTTTGAAGGCTTAAGTGGGATTTTCTCCATTTTTGATTGAGAGCAAAGTTAAAAAACGGGAGGTGATAACAAGGTGCGGCACCTGTTTTCAGGTTCCAACCCCTAACCAGTGCAAAAGGATGGACAGTAGCAAGAAGGATTTTGCACCCTGTGACCAAGTTCCAACCCTTGGTTAGTCATGCGCAAAAATAGAAACATGCAAGATTTTGTACCCTAATTGGAGGTTCCAACCCTCGTTTGACAATATTGTACGATAAAAAAGAAAAAAAATAAAATTAATTACCCATAACTACTATCTTAGTTACCAAACACTGTTATTTTATTCCAAATATATATAGGAGCCTTTAAAACTAGGTTTAGTATCTAGAAAAGTCATACCTAGGATTTTATTTTCTTTTTTTACAGTATTAAAAAATTATGTCAGAACGCAACTAAACTTTCAATAAAGTTAGGAAGGATCTTGATTGACGAATTTGATTTGTTATTTTATTTTTATTTTTTTATAGATTTTATTGTTTAATTTTATTTTTGAGAGATCATTAATTATTTTCAGATTTGAAAACCCTAAAAATTATATTCATCAAATTTCATATGAGATTAGTTATGCTTTTTTTATGTGTAAGTTGTTAGAATATAATTGATTGGTAGATTTGTTTTATAAGTTAATCCTTTGCTGTAGTATTATCAATTAGATATATTATCTTTCTCGGATAACTCATAAAAATAGCTTAGTTTGTTCTTCATTTAAATTAATTTCTCTCCAAATAAATACATTAGTTAATATTATTGGTTTTCAAAGTTATATCTTCCAATTGTTTGTTTAAGATGTGAGACATACAATTGAGTAATAAATAGAAATAAAAATTTATAACAGTCGAACAAATTAATTAAGTGAATTCTAAAGTCTTGTTCATCATAATACTATTTTCGATCCTTTATAATTATCATTTGTTATTTATATATTTTTATTTTTAATTTTAGAAATCATCTTTTAATTTAATTTCTCATTGTGATAACTTTTTTTGTTAGTTTAATATAGCTTCTTTGTGGATTCGACACATAAAGTTACGCTATAACAACCACTTAACCAAAGGGTATTAATTTTGGGGCAAGATATCAAAATTTGGCGCCATTGCAAAAGAAGCCAAATTGACAATTAGAGTTTGAACATTCTTCACTTTTCTTTTATTTTTTTTATTTGCTTCTTTTCTTTAGTTTATTTTATTTTCTTGCTTTTATTTTGTTTTCTTCATTAAAAAAAAAAAGACGAAAGGGGTAGATTAGAGTGTATGAATAGACTAAGAGACAAGAAAGGGAGATTTATTAAACTAGACCCACCACCCTTTGAAAAGGAAGAAGTCAAGTCTAATTCATCCTTTAATTTTGAAATTAGTGTCAAGACGGGATCAACCTATTAGGACTTTGAAAGATTACTTGCACCCCACTAGAATAGCTACACCACCATGCACAATGTTTCCTCCTAATACACCACACTTTGAGTTCAAACTTGGAATATTTCTTTTAATTTACGTACCATTTTATTTTGCTCCAGAGATTTGTCTATGTCATAAGGTCTGCTGCCATCTATGAGCCAGGTACTGTTTTTGTAGCTAAGTGATGAATCTAGTTTTCCTTTTTAAAAAACTAAAATTTTATTGATATAAAAAATCATTCAAGTTATAACATCAATACGAATGAGGTAATAGCATAAGGATATTACACTTATAAAATATATGTAAAATAATATTAAATAATTTAATATTTATATAAATATTATAATTAAGACTAAATTTTACATTTAACAATAAAGTTATATTTCAATATAATCTATCTTAGATTGAAGATAAATTAACTAAATGATCAATCATATTTTTTCTTTTTTGTGAAAAATAAAATTTTATTGAAATAAAAAAGGGATTATTATAAATCAAGGTAGTTTGCAACCAAAAAAATAAAAAAAAATAAAAAATAAAGGTAGTTTCAGGAACATACTAATAAAATTTTTTGAGAGGTTACAAACGTAATTCTAAAATAGTCCTAAAAATTTAAATTATGAACTTGTAAAGTCAAGTTTGCCCCTCTTTCTAACTCAAATTTACAAAACTGTGTTGTTTTTCCCCTAAAATTTATTTC